ACTGTGTTTTGTTTCTCAAATCCATTTCATATAGAAATAGAAATATAATCGTGCTTTGATTATATTTGAAATTAATATAAAACCTGCTTAAGAAAAGAAAAAGGCTACAAACCAAGAGATTTATTCAAAAAATACTTCAGGGAAAATACTTTGTCAAAGAGTTGTAATAATTACAAAACCATTTTTAAATGCAACATTTTAATCTGAAATTACTCATTGCTCTTTTCTATAGAACAACCTTTGCCAAGGTTGTTAGTCATAGTGTATCCTCCAGATACACTATGACTAAAATCTGAAATTACAGTCCTAAAATATGGCTTGTGTCCAATTGTCTGGTCCATTTTATAAAGATGCATGGCTTAAATTTTATAACTCCCCTGTAAACTTTAGGCATTCTGGTCTGTTCTGTGTACAGATGCTGTTAGCTGACCAATATAACTCAATTACTTTCAATGTGCTTGTTCTATTTTACTGTTTTCAAAATTCACAATGACCTAACCCAGGGGTAGGCAACCTTGGCTCTTTTATGACTCGTGGACTTCAACTCCCAGAATTCCTGAGCCAGCTGGCTCAGAAATTCTGGGAGTTGAAGTCCACGAGTCATAAAAGAGCCAAGGTTGCCTACCCCTGACCTAATCATATCAACCATATTGCTATTTCTGTTTAATTTGTTCATTTTATTTTATACTTTTAAAATACTTATTTTGCTTTTAATGGGACCTTGGTCAATGCCTTCAATATATTCTATATGATGTATCAGGAATCCAGTATCCATCATCCATCTCTTATTTTAAAAATCAGCAAGATAGTGCGTGTAGATTTCAGGACTCCCACAAACCATAGGGGTTTTTTTTAATTGCTGAAAACTTATAAGATCTTAGTCAAGAATGTTCAAAACTTTCAAAATCTCAATGAAATTTTAGAAAATGTTGGTAGTCATTTCTGAAATCACCTGGGCTTTTGGCAGTCTCACATTAGATCTTGTACAGTTTAGCTTTTGAGTTATGGTGTGTTTTTTGTAGAATTGGGCATGAAAGCATTTCAACAACAAAGCAGCTGTGTCTCCGAAAATCTTCAGTAATTGGCTACAAAAAGCTGGACAGCAACTAAATAACAGCTAATTGTATCCTCATCTAACGGTCCTTTGGATTTTTGCAGCTCAAACTGTAGTCTGACCATGCCCATTGAGGTTGATGGAAGTTGGAGAATGCTAGATTGTCTATTCTAGCATAGGCATTGGCCTCTTTGCATACCATATTTAACTGACTTTTGAATTAACTCAACCAATTAATCCAAACAGTTTACATTTAGCCTCAGAAAGTGTCTTGCTCTAGCGTAAAGAAACTCCTCCTCAACCCAGTGTTATGCTAATTATTTTTAGGGAGCATTATGTGTCTTTTCTGTCCATAATTGGGAAAAAGTTGTTGGAGAAGCCCCATAAAAATGCAGAATACCCAACCTTCCAGTTCTGTAGTTTTGATCCTCTGCAACCATGAGGGAAAGGGAACTAAAATAGGAGGACTTTATGGGGAGAGTGTTGAGTATTTTTGAACCTGTTCATAATCGTATAATATACAAGTATTCTCCTCATGATGGAAAATAATAAAAATGGCAGGAAATGGGATAGGAGAGGAATTATAGCTTCTTTTTTAGCAACCAAACAAGGCCGTAATTGGTTTCTTCTTATCTTGGAAATGGGACCAGTTTTGTCCTGGCTTCTCCTACTCAAAGGTTTCAGAGCCATGCAGGATAGCTACTTTAGGAAAAATGACTAACATAAAAACATTGTCTGAGTTTATACAACACTGTAGCTGGTGCATAATGCAAATTCAGCTAGTATAGTTAGCCTATGGTTCAGTATTCTATAGCAACACTGACAACTGCATTCATTAACTAAGCCATTTAGCTAGTTGTGGCTTAGGGTGCTGTGCCACATGAACAATGCTCTGTGCCTGTATGCAGTTTATGCTGCTCAGAACCTTATGGAGCTTGAAATTGCTTAGATCCAGTTCAACAATTAGAAAAAAAAATCTTGGGTGAGCAAAAATAAGATAATTTTAATATATTCCATAGAAAAATGGATTGTTGAGAACACAGAGAATAGAATATATAAGACAGAATAACCAATCTAGGAGCAAAAGTATTTGAGCTTTTCCACCAAACTGGAAATCAGTAAATCTCAGAGCACTTTGAGATTTAGAAGCTTACTTTATTTGAACTATTTTAAAACAAACACAAAATGCCAATATCAAATATCAGCATGAGATATCCTACATGGTATCCCAGATTCTCAGAGATACTGTAGTCAAACAGCCTTTTTGTTAGCAAAAGCATCTAAAAATGAGGGTTTCAAGATGGCAGCCAGGACAATCAAAGCTTTGCTCATTTTATGTTTATAAAATGAGTTTTGATCATGTGATTGTGGCCCCCATCTTTTTTACCCCTCCCATTGACACTGTCTATCACTATTTATTCATTTCTTTTTCGATTCCTATGTGAGAGTTGTGATGTGGAGATTGAGAGTTTTCCTAAACAACAGTTTTCCACTTGCTTATTCATTGTCACCTAACCATGCAATAAACAAGGTTGAAAACATGTTATTTATAGATATTAAAAAATAGACCTGAAACAGTTCCATTAAATTATTATGGTCTTTCAGTAGTAGGAAATCTCTTGGAGATAGCTTGGAGAAAAGAGCAATTCCTAATGGAGCAAGTGAGAATTCCCAGATGATCCTTGCAGAAGTCTCTCAATATCTTTGAGAATAGATATTCTCAACCGTGCAAGATGCTCAGTTTTACAGACTTTTGCTATTGAAATTATCTTCTTGCTAAAGTTGTTGCATAGACTTAAAACTGGAAATGCAATTCAAGTAATTCCAGGCTATGCTGAAGTAGAATTTAATAGAAGTGATCTGCTTTATTTTCATATAAACCATACAGACTACTGTAGCAGGATTGATTGGAATTCTTAATGGAGTTTGTACATGGTATACGAATTACCAGGAAGTTCAGCTAACTAAGGTGAGATGACAGAGAAGGATTGAGTCTGATAGGAACAATCCTACTTTGCTAAAAAGGCATATAATATTTGCCTGAAAATAAATATATACTAGAAGAAGGTATTCCAAAGTCCCAATTAAGACTCTGCCAGTTGGGACCTGTTGCAGTATCATGGCAATAAGCTTTAAAAATACGTTCCCAAGGGAGGCATCTCTCATTATGTTATCTCTGATCCACAGGTTGCAACTTGTTGAGTTGTTGGATTAATTCAGTATTAGAAAAATGAGTTTGTATTTTTATTTTTCATGCTTTGGAAAACAGATGCATAATAATGTAACTCCATATGAGATTATTTCCTACAATCATAATAGTAAAAGTGGGTGGAGGGATGGATATGGCAATAGAAGGAAAAATGAACTGTTTCTGGTCTGACTATTAGTAGTTATTGAAAAAATATCTACCTAATATATCTTTGCTTTAAACAATATTTTACTGTTGTTCGTTTCACTGATATCTTTTATTTCAAAATACAAGAAGTAACAAATACAGTTATACAGAAAAAAAATCTTTAAAAAATAATGGAAATCAAAGAAAAAAAGGATAAAAACTCCAAGCAAACAAAGAAAAGAGAAAAACCCCTAAAATATTTATGAAATTTATTAATAGTCATTGGTTTACTAATACCATGTAGTATTATAATGTTAGTATTATTGTATTGTTGTAAAATATCCAAAAGCTCTGCAAAGTAGTACATTCTTGGCTTCATTCTTAAATTAATAGAAAATATGCCAAGATGGATAAATCACACATTTCAAAAAAAAACATTTGTTAACATCTGGAATAATGTCATGTTTCCAATTTCTCAATATAATTAATTTAGCCATTCTCCATGCTTGATAAAAATTCTTGATATGAAGTCAGATTCCAAAACTTTGGTGTATAATTTAATATCACATTAACATCTTTAACATTTAAAGATTTTTCCATAAATATACTTATATACAAATAATCCTCACCAACTGCCTTGTTGGCTGTTGGAAGTTATAATGGTACTGAAAAAGTAGACTTATGGCCAGTCCTTGAACTTGCAGCTGTCTCAGCATCCCTGCAAAGACGTGATTGTGGTTCAGCACTTCACAACTGGTGCAATGGTCATAGCATCTTGTAGTCACGATTGCCATTTGTGACATTCACAGCTGGATTTCAACCAGCAAAGTCAATGAGAAGTTGGCAGGAAATCATTGTCATGTGATATTGTACTTAATGACCTGTGGTGATTTCCTTAATGACTGCCACAGAACGATGCTGTGAGTCTGGTGCATTCATGTTATTTTTATGGCCACATCATTTACCGGTGGATTTGCCAGGCCCAATTGCAGTTAGCAAGTGAAAACAACCTGTGCATTAAAATACCATTCCAAAAAGGTACCAGATATTTACATGACCATATCATCTAAGTTACTGAACCTTCATTTTTAAAGTAAATCTGATGCCCATCCTTTCAAGTATATTTCTTAGGGAGTCTAAATACATTTTTTGATAAACCCAAGTTCAGTTTCAAATCTGTTAATACAGTTAAACTTTTTTAAGGTTATAAAGCCATAACTGGGACATTATCAGAGACTCCATTCTTTAGTCCATAGGTGAATATCCCAAGAATGTCACTTCAAAATCATTCTTTGAGTTTTCAATAGACATAGCTTATGGATTTCATGGATTCCATCGAACAAAAGAGCATCACAGGTGTCTTTGAAGAGGACAAAGCATATGACCCAGGACTCCATGTGGTTCATTGAGCCAAGTTAATGGTTCATTAATTGAAGACATAGAAAGTCATAGGAATCCCATTAAGTAGCCAGTGGGCGCATGAATCCTGTGTGGAGCCAAGGGGTATTGTGGGAGGGGCCACTGTGGTGCTCTGGAATGTGGGTGGGAGAAAAAGCAGGAGTGTGAGGAACTTCCAAATTCATGCAGGCTTTCCCATTAATTTTGTTTCAGAGGAATTGGCAGGAAACATTGGAAATTGTGATTGCACGACCACAGATCACCGCAGCATCATAATCGAGCACCCAGATCATGATCACATGACCACATGGATATTGGATTGGCCACAACTTTGTAAGTCCCCCCTCATTCAGCACCATTTGAATGACCAGTGAACAAGTGGTCAGAACGTATACTGCCACTGTAGTGAGCTGTGAAGATCAAATTATATTTGACGTGAGAGAAATCCTTAAAACAATCCTTACAAAATAAATAGTTGAAAGTCATGATCCTGGCTTCCACCCAAACTTTCCAATGCAATATTTTGCCACCTATTTTCAGAATCAAATGTTTCCAAAGAGTTAAATATTCATATGTCTCATTAAACCCAATCTATGCTCCAAGGTTTTCTCACCATTTGCAGTCGTGGAAATAAATCACCTTTTCTGCTATACGTTGTATAATAGGAGAAATAATAGCTTTCCAGCACAGGACATAAAGGATAGTATTCTACTATATTTTTATTCTATATACTGATAGCTGATGAATATAATCCTAAAGATATACTTGAAAATCAGATAGATAAAAGGCACCTTCCCCAAATGGTAATTTTAATTTAGCTAAAGAAAATGATGATCCATTATTCCAAATAAATTTCCTATGTAATCCATCAATCTGAAGGAAAAATACTTTGTATTAACATAGGGATACCTTTAAATACATAAATAAAGTGAGGGGCAATATTCATTTTAATAACATTACTTTTACCCCTCATTAATAACATTACTATTATCCCAGGTTAATGGGATTTTAACTCAACTTTGTATCTTAATTCAATGTTTTCTAAAACTTTGGTTTTTTTCACATACTGGGAAATATGTTGAAATATGTGAAATACCAAATATTTAACACAGTCAGTAGAAGTCACAAAATCCAATAATTTAGATAACCACATTGATATATTTGGACCCAAAAGAAGTAAACAAGATTCATCCCAATTAATCTTATAATCAGAATACTTTCCAAAATCTTATACTACCTTTATAAAATTACACAGAGTTAGAATACTTATTCAAAACTGCTGAAACATCATCAGTATATAGAAATATTTTCTACTCAACCCCTGCCAATGTAATACCTTTAATGCTTAATCACTGCCTTATAAGAATATCCAAAGGATCAAATTAAATAGTAAGGGTGAAAATTAGCAGTCCTGCTGAATACCATGTTGTAACTGAAAAGAGCCCAAAATTTACTATTTTATAATTTGCACTGAGTTGCAAACATTTATTTGTTTGTTTGTTTGTTGTTTGTTTGTATTTATATTTCATATTTCTAACCTAGGAAGACCTTTACTTAACTTTGTGTTGTGCACCAATGATGCCTTTTCCTGAATGGGGGGGTGCTCTCTGTTCGGTTTCTCTTGCCCTGATCATCTCCTGTTTGAACTATTGCAGCACACTCTATATGGGGCTACCATTAGCTGAAAGCTTCAGCTGGTACAAAGTCCAACTGTGCAAGCAATTTTAGGCCCCCAAAGAAGGACACATGTAATACCTCTGCTTCACGAGCTGCACTGAGTGCTAGTTTGCTTCCTGGTCCAATTCAGGGTGTTGGTTGTGTCTTATAAAGCTCTATATAGATGGGGCCAGGGTACCTATAGAACCATATTTGTCCCATTATATCGGCCTGTCCCACTCAGTCAGATAGGGAAGGTATGTTGCAGACCCAGTCAGTTAAAGAATTCTGATTGTGGAGTCTAGGAAGAGAGCCTTCTCTGCTGTTGTTCCCATCTTATGGAATATTCTTCCCCCAGAGGTGAGCGAGGCCACCATTCTCCTGGTCTGAAAAGCTCTGTGGCCTTGCATGGGGAGCCCAAGGGAGCACACAGCCATGGGGCTGGTTAGTCCCCTGAAAGCCCTCCCTTTGTTTTTTTAACTAATTTTAATCTCTTGCCTTCTCTTAATTTTTTAAAATTTTTTACACATACTGTTTTATATTGTACACCTCCTAGAGTCCATTTTTGAGGGAGTTGGCAGTACAGAAGTATGAAAAATAAATAAATATAAATAGTTGGTATTGGTAGTCCTTGACTTACAATCACAATTGGGAACAGAATTTCCAATGCTAAGCAATGGGATCATAAAACAAAATATCACATATTGTTAGCGATGATGGTTCTAGTAGTCTTAGATGAGATCATTAAGCCAGGACAGTAACATCGGTAAGTAAGGACCTCATGTTTCTCTTGCCTTGCTGTGCTTGCCTTTACTTCAACTTCCCCAAGCAGCAGGCACATGGCAGGAGATGGCAGGGGTCTGTGGCAGAACGCAGGGCACCCAGCATGGCAGAGATGAGGAAGATAGATGGGCAGGGGGAGTTGAAGCACCCTTGCGGTTGTAAGCGAAGGTAAACTACCAAGTGCCCGATTTTGATTACCCTGTCCACAGTGACCACAGGACAATGCAACAACTTTAACTTTGGGGACCAGGTATAAGCCTCACCCCTTTTTTTTAGCACAGCCATACTTTCAAACAGTTGCTGAATGAATGATTGTAAGCTGAAGACTACCTGTATTTTGCCAAACTTAATCTTTTTCAAAATACATATAGGCTTATTATTTACCTATGTATATATTCTTTAAATCTAATTTTGATTCAGCAGACAATGTTATATTTCTACATGAGGTTTTAGACTATGTCACCTTGGCTTGTTGCTGCAAAAAGTAATTTAATCAAAGAGAAGGGCAAAGAAAATAATCAAATTGCTTGTGCTTCTTTTAAATGAAGGCTTGACAATAATACTATTATCGGCTTCAAGAGAAACTAAAGGCATCAGTATTCAAAGGAAGAGCCATTGTCACTTGAGTCTTGCAGAATGCTTTTCAATTAAAAAAGCAAACCTCATAAAAAGCCTTAGAAATGGGCTTCATTGAAAGAGAACTGAAGGAAGTTGCTTGGTATTTGACAACAATAGCTACAGTGATTTGTAATCATGAAGGGCAGAAGATAACATATAATTTATATTGGTAAAAATAGAGGGATGAGTGGAATTTGTGCAGTCATTCTCCTATCTCTGCACAATGTCATTTCTCAAAAACATCCTCACTTTAACAAACTACAGCCGTCTCCAGTCTTATAAGCCTTTTTTATTTGCTTTTTTATTTGCTTCTTTCCTGTTGTTTCAGCAGTGGAGAATAAACATTTTTTATTTTTGTTTTTAACCAAGAGACCAAACTAGATTTCTGCTTGTTCATTAGTGATGTAGGGTTGGGATTTTGGATTTATTAATAATTACATCTCTGCTTAATAATAAATTGTTGTGCATAGTTATGCTGATACAGCTTTTAAAATTGTTTTGTTACATACTGTATTCATCCTCTGAAAAACATTTTATTTTGAAAAAATGTATTTTAAATGGCTTAATAAATAAATGACAAGCTTATTAGATACCTCGTATCAGAGTTCCTTTTTTTTTGAAGTAGCTAGCCAAAGATACTATCTATACAACTACTAGCCACTGTTAGTCAAAGATGCTGCATGTACAACTACCAAATTATCATTAAAACAAAAGTATATATTATTCTATATCATTAAAATAGGAGGGGGGAGAACGAATTTTGTAGAAGATTAAATCACTACCATGCCCCTTGTCACATTGTAAATATCAATTTAATTTAAAATAGCAGCAGGTGCTGTTCATTTTGAAGTGACTCACGTGTAAATATTGCATCTGCCTTTATAGGAAATGATGTGCGAACAAAATCTGTAGCTGCTATGATTAGTAGTTGCTGATCTTTAAAGATAAGTTGACAAGATTAAAAGAGGGAAAGTGGGAAAATGCGTCACTTTCTGAAAGAGAAACTTTCTCCAGTTCCCAGAAGTAATGAGGCTGTAAATAAAAATGATTGTAATGAATCATTTCTCTTAAGTACAGCAACTTATCAGAAAAAAACATGAAGGGCCTTAAAGATTGTGGTTGAGGTCATCAGGGGAAGCCAAATACAGTGCAGAAAGCACATAGAAAATAAGTATTTGTCTTGGCTTGTTTAGATGAACTAACAATTGAACCCTGTTGAGTTTCTATCTAACCATTCCATGGAATTGTTGGTTATTATTTTAGAGTATTCCCTTGCTTGTTGTTTCTGGGGTCCAAATGCTACTTCCAATAGCTTTCTGTGCCCTGAGGTGATTGTCTGGCACTCAGCCTTGGATAGCCTTTGACACTTCCATAGCATCTAAGGGCAGACAAGAAGCAATGGGTGGAAGTTCGTCAGAGGAAGATTCAGCCTGGAAATAAGGAGGAATTCCCTGAGTAAGAATGATTAATGTATGGAACAGCTAGCCTCTTGGGGTTGTGGGTGCTCCATCACTGGAGTTTTTCAAGAAAAGATTGGATAACCATTTGTCCAGAATGGTATAAGGACTCCTGCCTTGGGCAGGGGATAAGAATAGACATCCAAGGTCCCTTCCAGTCCTATGCTAGGGTTCTAGGACTTTGTGTGAAGCTTTTCTTCTCCAACTATGGCTTCCTATCTTTCCAATTATTTCCTCCATGTAGGCCTCAAAATTAGGGGCCACTACACAGGGGCTTGGAGCATTTCCTCACAGTTTTGAAGTCTTGCACGAGAATAGTCTCCATCAGCTTCACTAATTAACCATTAGTTCTTGATGAGAAGAATTTTAGCTTTGCCAAGTAGATCCTCACAGGGCTTGCAAAAGTACATTTTATTTATCTTAACATGTGATAGAGGGGCTTTATATCAGGAACTGAAAAGGCATATTAAGCAGGCTGGGACACTGTAAATACATGGTAGCTGATTTCATCTATGGCTAATTCTGAGGATTGATACAACCAGTTGATTTGAATGAGATTTATAATTGGAAGGACTGATCATGGGCTTATAGTAAGCATCCATTGCTTACCGAATAGAGTTAAAAGAGACCTTGTAGGTCTTCTAATCTAGTCCAACCCTTGATCAAGCAGGAAACCCTATACCATTTCAGACAAATGGCTGTCCAATCTCTTCTTAAAAATCTCCAGTGATGAAGCACCCACAACTTCTGGAGGCGAGCCATTCCACTGATTAATTTTTCTCACTGTTAGGAAGTTTCTCCTCGATTCTAGGCCCTCAA